GTTGGAAGGGACCTTAAAGATCATCCAGTCCCACCCCCTCCATGGGCAGGGACACCTCCCACCAGCCCAGGTTGCTCCAAGCCTCATCCAACCTGCCCTTCAACACTGCCAGGGATGGGGCAGCCACAGCTTCCCTGGGCAACCTGGGCCAGGCTCTCACCACCCTCACACCCAACAATTTCCTCCTCATCTCCAACCTCCATCTCCCCTCTGCCAGTTTTAATCCATCCCCCCTTGTCTTCTCCCTGCCTGTCCTTGTCCCAGGTCCCTCCCCAGCTTTCCTGGAGCCCCTTCCGGCCCTGGAAGGTGCTCTAAGGTCTCCCTGGAGCCTTCTCTTCTCCAGGCTGAACACCCCAACTCTCCCAGCCTGGCTCCAGAGCAGAGCTGCTCCAGCCCTCCCATCATCTCTGTGGCCTCCTCTGGACTCACTTCAGGAAACCAACACAGCCCCAAACTGTGGCAGTAAAGCCCCAAACCAAGGGAAAGGATGAGGCTGGAGAGCTCAAGATAAGGTTGGAAAAGTTGCTGGACAGGTCAGGAGCACAGTGGGATCAGGCAGTTGAGGGCTTTTCCTTTCCTTCCTGCTGTTAACAACCTCAGTGCCCACAGCTCTCTGGTGGAAGTGTCTCATACCATGGCTGTGTATCAGGAAAAGGAAGGGGGGTGGAAAGGTTGGTATGCAATTCTGGGAACATCTTGGAAACTCTGTGCAAGCCACATGGAAGGTGCTGATGCAATCCCAGATATGTGATATCCTGCAGTCAGCACAGGTTGGTCCACCTTGCTGGTGAGGTGGCTTCACACAGCACTCAAGGTACAGCAGAAGGGACAGTCCCTGCAGAGAGGAGCTGGGTTTAACTAGGATTTAGTAACTCACAGGCAATTAGCACAAGGACAGTGTCTTCACAAGGTATGAGCATCTGATGCAGGATTAAGTAATGAATATACAACTTGAGCACGTATTGATCACACAGAACCACAGAGTGATGGGGTTGGAAGGGACCTCTGGAGATCATCCAGTCCAACCACTGCTAGAGAAGGATTCCCTAGAGAAGATCCCACAGGATTCTGGTGGGTTGGGAATGTCTCCAGCGATGGAGACTTACAACCTCCCCGGGCAGCCTTTCCTGGGGCTTTGTTACCCTCACAGCTAAGAAGTATTTTCTGATACTTATGTTCAATTTAGGCTGATGTTCTTCTGTGATTCAAGATCGTGTGCTCTGAGAAGATGACAGGAAGTTTTCAACATGAACAAAGCTACATTAAAGTAACCAGGCTTGCTGGCTGTTCAGTGTTAGCAGGAGTTTTTCAGCTTCCCTAAACACTGCTGCTGCTCTGCCACTTCAGCTGTTCTCAACCAACTGAGGATTTAAAGCAGCATTTTTTTTTTTTCCTTAATGTGGGTTTTATAAATAAAAAACAGTTCCTGGGTCTGAAACCAAAGGAGAATTTACAGCCCCACTGCTCTTGTGCCACACCAGCAGAATGGCCTCCTTTGTGCAGCAGAGTTCAAAGCACAACTCAAAGGCAAATGTTTGCCCTGTGGGAAGATGTTTGGAGCCCAAATGCCAACAGAACAATCCACTCTGGCCTCACTAAAACACCAAGTCCTGCTGCTTTCATCTCCCAGACCTGTGGCTGCATTTCCCTGCACATGCTGATCCTGCAAGTGCTCCTGCTGAGGCCAAATTGATTCCTGTGGGAATTCATGATGAACATCATTTGGAAAACCAGATCCACTTGACTGAAATTCAAGACAAGACCTGCAAGGACTGCAGCCAGTCCATTGTGGTGCTGCATCTACTCATCTTTCTCACGTGCCACTCACACTCCTGCTGGCAGTTGACACTTCACCAGCTGTCTGAGGCTGCAGCACAGAGCATAGCTCAGTGTATTCCAGGTTTTAAGCACTAGATCCGGAGTGTCCAGCATCCATGCCTTGTGGTTCCTGTTTACATTTATCCCTTATCAGCCTAATATCCCAGCTAAATATACCTAGCAGTTGCTCTAAAGGTCAGCTGCAAAGGACAGATCTAATTTGGCTTCTATCCTGACTCTGTTCTTCTGTGAACCAGCCTCCATGTTTTATCCCAAATAAGAGATTCTGATTTTCATGTCAGAGGATCAGCTGCTTCTGCCTCTGTTGATTTTCTAAAAGGCCTTTTGGAAAAATCTTTGGAAGCTTTCTCTCAATAAGGGTATGAACAGCAAATCTTTCAGATTTTTTCTCCTCCTTGCTATGAAAACAATTCACACACCTTTTCATTACCAAAAAACCAAACCAAAACAACCCAGCACCAAAAAAAAAAAAAAGGACCAAGTTTTAAAAGAGCCACCCTAATTGCTCTGTCCCCTTCCCAAGTGCTGTGGTTCCCACCTCCTGTGTCACTGCAATCCCACCAACCTCTCAGCAGTCCTCCAGCACAGAGAGCAAAGTCAAGATTGGATTTATCTGATGTAAGAGGCACTTAGGGAAAAGGCACTTTCTACAAGTCTCTAAAGCTCCTCTATGCATCATGAAGAATGGCACCTCTTTCCTGCTTTGCAGATCACTTACAGCCTTGCAAGAACAACATCACAGCACATTTCTCTGGAATTAAACAGCCTGAGAATAAATGCCAGGATCCAAATTGTCCCCACTTCCCAAGTGGAGAAACAAATATTATTTATGCCCAAGGTACTGAGGCAAAAAACCAACGACTCAGCACACAGAAGATACTGGCTTTTTCACACACCACCTAATTACAGAAGACATCTCAAGAGCTAGAAGTGCAGAGACACATCCCCAGCTGCACAGCTACCTCTGTCAGAAATCAGGTCAGGCTGTGGGCAGTTTTGTTTCAGGGGAATCAGGCAGGGAGATGCAGGAGGAGTGGGCATGCACAGTGCAGTTGGGAATTATCTGCAGTGTAAAAGTGAATCAGCAGCAGAGTCACAGGAGAGGGGGAGTGAGATAAGAGGGAAATGGCATTTGCTTTCAGAATCCTCCTTCTGGCCTGAGGACTGAAAGATCAAGGGGTAAATAAACAAAGAAAGGGATGGAATCTTATTCAGGGAAATGAGTCATGGACAGCAGAGGGTTAATAGGGATCCCTCCTCTCCCTTATAAAGGGACTGGGTCTAACTTCTAGCTGAGTCAGCTGTGGAACATGAAAGCAACGAAAAGCACTGCCTAGGAAGGGAAATAAAGATGTCTCCAAGTAGCACTCCAGAGGAGGAGGGCTCTGGCATTCCCACACCCCACATTCCAGGACAGGGACCAGGTAACTCACCTCTTCCACACTCCATTTGGCCACGTGTTTGGCCGTGAGGCCCGAGACCTCTGGCAACAGCCTGCAGTGCTGCTCCCAGCAGAGGTGCAGGCGGTGGGTCGGGCTGGAGGCCAGGGAAGGCATGAAGATGGACTGGTGGAGGGCCTGCTGGAGATCCAGGTCAGGGTCTGCAAAAGGAAACGAGACAAGTCAGAGCCAGGCTTCAAGTAGGAGCACTTAGAACAGAGCAGGAGGAAGGATCACACTCTGGAATGAAAAGCAAGGCAGGGTGAGCAGGCAGCCCTGCATGGCACACTGAGCTTCCAGGGTGTCCTTCCCACCCTCCCAAGAAGGGGAAAGAAAAAGGAAGATTGCCAGGCTAGAGGCTTTATCATTAGCTTCTTCTCTGGAAAATGATGTCATGCTGCTAAGAGAGATGTTTGCAGCGTTTTATTGACAAGGTGGAGGAGTTCTGGTAACAGCATCTTCAGCTGGAAAATTGATGGCATGGTTCCAGCTCACAGCTGTACCCAGCCTGCAAAGAGCACCCTGCCTGCCAGCCCAGGGCTTGGGCTCCCCTCCCAGGTGACCCCCAGGCCAGGAGAGCTCCACGGTACCTCCAGACATCAACTCCCTCCTCATGTGTCAAGCTTGCAAAATCAAGGCAATAAATAAATAAATAAATAAAAAAGGAAGCAATCACCCCTCCCTAATGAGATCACTCAGTAGTGCAGAGTCATGGTCCTACAGGGACGTGCCTGGTTATACAACAGGAAGCAGAGCAGAGGATGGAAACAAGATGGGAAACACTTCTCTCCTGACAGCGGTTACCCTGTGCTGCCCCTCGCCCCCAGCCCTGCGTGCAGGGTGCCCAGCGCCATCCCGTGGCTACCGTACAAAACTCCGGGTTTATTTCCTGCCTTCAGGAAGGCTGGGAATGCTGCTCGGCTCTTCTGGGCTGGCTGTGCCAGCACACACGGCTGGCAGCAGGATGGTGTGTGAGGATCTGGGGGTGTGCCAGTCGCTACTGGTAAAGCAGGGAGGAAAATAGCACTTGAAAGGAGAAGGCCAATTTCCATGATTTGCCTGCTCCTCACTAGCCCAAGTGCAAGCCTTGCTGGAGGGAAAGCCTCTCCTAGCAAAAGGTCACTCCCTGTCCCCAGCTTACCTTGTCTCCCACCTCCCTAAAGGATCTGGGACAGCATCAAATACAGGTCTCTATTTCTTGGCGAGACCAAAGAGGTTTAAAAAAATAAAAGCCTCAACTGCTCAGTTCAGAAAGTGATGCTCCTGGTGACTCCAGGGCAGAGGACACTGCTGCTGGTTGTCACCTGCTCTCCTCACCTGCCTCACTGCTGGTGGGGCAGCAGCTGCCACTGCCCCCTCCTCCTTGCTGCAGGAGATCCCAGTGCTGCCCAAGGTTTCCTACACTGCCTCATCCCTGCTCTGTGGGCACTGCCTCCACCCCACTTCTCTTCACTAAGCCCAACTCCTCAGGGGTAGGCACCCAAACCATGATCTAAACAAGTTATCTGCCCCTTGAGAAGGAAGCAGGTTCTAATTGTTTCAACACAGATGGGATGAAAGCTCTGGGTAATGCTGAAATTCCAGGATTATTGAAGAAATTCCCTCCTCTGATTCCCAACATTCTAAGGTGAATGCAAAGGGAGAGCAGAGACAGCTTCCCCTGCCAGCTGTAACTGCAACTGCTGGCTGGCAGACTCCCCCAGCTCTGACTGCAGCACTAGGTAAGAAAGAGTATTAAAAGAAAAAACCACCAGCTAGGCACCTGTCCCAGTTTGTGCCTGCTTAGCTATTTTTGATTGGAGACTTATTACCATGTTAAATCCTCCTAAAAGCCTGGTCAGCTCAGTTCTCTGAAATGGCTTTTTATAGTAAATCTGAAAGTTAAGCATATGGTTTGCTAAAGTGATAGCAGAAAGCTGCTCTTAGAACTTAACCTGTCACGTACCAGGAAAAAAAAAAAAAAGGCTTTGTTTTTCTATTTAATGGTTTGTTTTCTTTGTCATCTTTAGGAAAACCTTAGAAAAGTCACCACCCAAGAGGATGCAGATTATGTTTCTGAATACCCTGTGGGGTCCCAAAGAAGCTGTGGCTGCCCCATCCCTGCCAGTGTTGAAGGGCAGGTTGGATGGGGCTTGGAGCAGCCTGGGCTGGTGGGAGGTGTCCCTGCCCATGCAGGGGGTGGGACTGGATGGTCTTTAAGGTCCCTTCCTACCAAACCATTCCGTGATTCTATGAACTTAAACTATCTGCCAGGTTTTGAGCAAACCTCCCTGGTCACCTCTGCTGGCTCTGTCAGCAGAAATGTCACTGACTGGGGAACAAAACTCCTTGTCACTTCAGAAGAGCAGGCCATGGTCCAAGAGATGGCACGAGCTTCTCTTCGCAGTTAATACTTACGAAGCCTCACTCTACAAAGTATTTAACCTTTCACTTCCAAGTAATTCTACTCTTCCTCCTCATTTTAAAGGAAGCATGACTACCACTGCCATCATCTCCTTCCTCTTGACTTGTGGAATCGCTCTTCCTCCTCATTTTAAAGGAAGCATGACCATCATCTCCTTCCTCTTGACTTGTGGAATCAAAGCAAAAAAGCTGTAAGGTTTTAAATGCTCCTTCTGACTGTAGTATATTGTACATCTATGCACACACACACACATAAAAAAAAGTGTCACCAACCTTTCCCATTGCTTTCCTGTTTTGCCAGCTGGAACTTTATATAGGCATGTGAACTCCCAAGCCTGAAAGCATCAATTACAAAGCAATTCAGAAGATACACCAACTAATAATAATAATAATTACATATGTAATATAATTTCTTCTCTATACAAAACTTATGGGACTTTTAGGAAGCAAAAACTTTTCTCTCTTAAACTGAAGAACAGCTCTGCCCCTGAACTCTCTCTAAGCTAAGGACTGTGCTACTAAATTCATGGCTAGAACTGAGATTTGGGGTTAATGCAGGAAAGAGGGGGCCCAAAATAACAGGAGGAAAGGAGATTTCCCATGGCATCCTAAAACCCTGTGCTGCAAACCTCTGGTCAAACTGGGCTGTTCTAAGTTATGTTCTACATCTGTATTTCAGGCAGAGCCAGCAGCATCAAGGAACACAACTTCTAATGCACAAAACCATCCCAGAAATCTTAGTTACTTCTTCCTTTTGGCTTTGATGCCTGCAGAGGAATCCTTTTCTCCCCAGTCTCTCTCATGATTGTTTTCTGACTGTTCCGACGGGCTGGGAACGCTGCTTGGACACGACTTTTCACTGCCTTGACACGACTTTTCACTGCCTTGTGCAGGTTTTCTGGAAAGACAGAGATGATAGCAGCAGAGCTGACATCCTCGGTGCTCTGCTCAAGCAGGAGAGCAGAGCTGGCTGCTCCTTGCAACTGAGAGCAGCAGCCACCACCTAGTGGCAGAATCTTTCCTCTCCCCACCAGCACTACTGGTACAGGACAAAGTGGGTTTTTTTTTCTCTTCAGCAGGGATTGACAGAGATTTTAAGAAATAAATCAGCCCCTGTGGACTGAGGCTCTGATCCCAGCAGCTACTGGAAACCCACTGAAGCATGTGGTATGGTGAAATTATTTCAGATTTTTGACTCTGGATGCCTCCAGAGAACATAGAAGAGTCTCCATCAAGGAGTCTGATGGATAAACTGGGCTATGTGGTTGCCCAGGGAAGGACAAGCAGCAGGGTGGTATCAGATTCACATACTGAATTCAGACCTACCACTATCAGGAAATAAAAGAGTTAGAATAGAAACAGATTATAATTTTGGAATGCCATTTATTCTGGGAGAACCCCAAAGCTCCTGAGAGAGCTTTATGGTAACTGTGCCATTGAAATGCAACCAATTCTGGTTGTTTAAGTTAGGAAATTGAGATGTGTGCACATTTCTGGGATGGGAGGAGGCAAACTTTGGCCATGTGTGCCAGGGAGGGAAGTTTTCCTTCTTTCTGGCCAGATATATCTTTAAGAAGCTATAAATTTAAGCAAATAAATTAACTTTCAAATGTATATAAGCCTTCACATGCAACAAAGACCAAAAGTCTTGCCCTATTGGTGACAATAATAAAAGCTTTCATGTCCAGGTCTGACCCATGACACATTTTAAGCACCTCCTGCAGTCCAAAAACTAATGCCCAGTTTGCTATAATGATACTCAATTCCAAGACTTTCATGCAAGGAAATAAAATATCTGAAGGAACTCAACTTATTTGCCAAGTGACACAGACACAGTCATTACCCCAGCAGGGTAACACAGCCAGCTCTGGGGTGGGTTGCAGTTCCAGTTTAATACTGCAAAATAATCTTGCTTGACAGTTTTAGGACAGGAAAGCAAAGAAAAGAATATATTTTAAATTGAAACAGCAAGGAAAAAAATTTATGGAGACAGAATGCAATTTCCTTTGTTGGAATGTGACCAGAACAGCAGGATTAAGGAATGAAGAAACCTATTAAGGCACATGAGGGTATAAAAGTGCACTGCTCTGTGTTGAGTGTCTGGGGCACAGGTCAACACTACAGAGGAACAAACCAGCCAATTCCTGTGGTTTTCAGTCTTAGAAAATGCTTTTGCTCCCCAGTATCTGCCCAAGAAAAGGGTTCAGCTCACCTGGACTGTGGAGAGTCTTCCTGAGAAGACTCTCCTGCTCCTAACAGGAATGGGCCAGGAGTCTCCAGCCTCTTGGCTTTCTGCATGTTATTGCTGGGGGAAGGTCTGTCCCCACCCAGGCGGTCCTGGAACAAGTTCTCTCTGTTGAGGTTCACATCAGAATAGGGGCAGCCAACCAACCTGTGGAAAAGAAAGATAAAAAAAGAGAGAGCTGATGATGTATGTTTTTAAGTTGTGCCTCAGGCAGATATTCCATCACAAAGGCAGAAAAAGTGAGGAGGCCAAAACCACTCTGGGAGATGTTATTATCCAGCTTTAGGTATGGGAAAGCTGGGGAGTACGTGGCAGAATTAGGAACCAAAGTCGTGTTTGTAGAGTCACCTCAGAGAGGAAGAGAGCTCTTCCTCTGTAACCTGCTTGTCTGAGCACTATTTAATGAAACAAGAGAGTCCTGCAACTTTCACTCTGAGAAATTCAAAGCTCTTTACCACATTATACACTACTAGATCTTCAGACCTCCCACCTGAGGTTGTTTTCTTGCTGTTTGAAAGAGTTTAATTGAGACAAGCCTTCCTCTTCCCAGAATACATAAGAAATCAAAAGGCAGAGCACAAAACAAACTAGCTTTCCTCACTCTTATACTTTAAGAGCCTGCTCACATTCCCTCCCTCTTTAACTGCCTCCTTGCAAGCTGTTTGGGGTGTATTAGTTTACAAAAAAATAAATTCCTTCAGTAATGCTGGAATGTAAAAATTGGAGTGAATGAATCTATGTTGGGTTGCACTGCAGTTTATACTGCTATAAACAGGATTTATGGTGAAACAGCACATTTAGACACAAGAGGGAGCTGCAATTGCAGTTATAACTATCTCCAGAATTAACACCCTGAGATCATTTCAGTGCAGTGCAGGAGCTTGTTGCTGCATTATTGTTGTGGGCAGCAGTGAGACTTTCACAGGCAGAGAACCCTGTTATGAAAGGCTGGGAGAGCTGGGGCTGTTCAGTTGGAGAGGAGGAGGCTGAGGGGGCATCTGATCAGTGCTGATCAGTGTCTACAGGGGGTGTCAGGAAGATGGGACAGACTTTTCTCAGGGGTGCCCAGTGACAGGACAAGGGGTAATGGGCACAAACTGGAGCACAGGAGGGTAAAGATAATATGAGGATAAACTTCTTGACTGTGAGGTTGGCAGAGCCCTGGGACAGGCCGCCCAGGGAGGCTTTGGAGTCTCCATCCCTGGAGACATTCCAACCCCACCTGGACGTGTTCCTGTGGGATCTGCTCCAGGGGATCCTGCTCTAGCAGGGGGTTGGACTGGGTGATCTCCAGAGGTCCCCTTCCAACCCCCTCCCCCCTCTGTGATTCTGTAACCCTATAAAAAGATCTCCTGTACATACGTATAATGAGTCCCATATCTTGGGCCCCTGACGTGACCGACACCGTGGCAGCCGGGAGTGGGACACGCTTGTCCCACTGTTCCCACTCCAGCACCAGCACCTGGGAACAAACAAAACAACAAAAAACCAAATTATACAAATTTTTTTAAAGCAGGTTTGAAGAAGAACAGCAAAATTATTCCACATTACAATATGCAATCGACTTTACCTAGAGGGACTTCCAAGGCATGTCCAGTTTTTGCACACCAGCCCACAGGGTGGACATCAGGGCTGTCTGCATCCACCCAGAAATCATAACTGGAGTCCCAGCCATCAAAATGTATCTAAAAGAAGCACAAAGTCTCAGTCAGAGATACAGCTAAGGTCATGACTCAGCTTTTACTTTAAACCTTGCTCAGCTTGGGGCTGATTCATCCCATCTTTCAGTCAGGTGCAACTCCCTGTCCTTTGTGCTCAGTGTGACTCTTTGTCTCCCTGACTCTGCTTCTGTGTTTTATACAACCACCAGATTTTTGGTGACACACTCCAAAATAGCAAGAAGCACAGCCCACAGGGTGCACAATCTATACTTAAAGACTAAATCTGTGTGAACACAATGGTTTCTTTAATTGCATTGCTTTCTGAGGACACCCTAACATGCTAAAACCCAACAATTTTGCTGAGTTTTGCAGTGAAAGAGCTGGAATTTTCTGCTGCATCAAATCAGTGTGGACAGCAGGGCCAAGGAGGGGATCCTTCCCCTTTACTCTGCTCTGGGGAGAGCCCCCTGGAGAACTGTGTCCAGGTCTGGAGCCCCCAACACAGGAAGGACATGGAGCTGCTGGAGAGAATCCAGAGGAACCACAGAGATGATGTGAGAGCTGGAGCAGCTCTGCTCTGGAGACAGGCTGGGATAGTTGGGGTTTCAGCCTAGAAGAGAAGGCTCCAGGAAGACCTTAGAGCAGCTTCCAGTGCCTGAAGGGGCTCCAGGAAAGCTGGGGAGGGACTTGGGACAAGGGCAGGGAGGGAGAGGACAAGGGGGGATGGATTAAAACTGGAAGAGGGGAGATTGAGGTTGGACATGGGGAGGAAATTCTTGGTTGTGAAGGTGGCGAGAGCCTGGCCCAGGTTGCCCAGGGAAGCTGTGGCTGCCCCATCCCTGGCAGTGTTGAAGGGCAGGTTGGATGGGGCTTGGAGCAGCCTGGGCTGGTGGGAGGTGTCCCTGCCCATGCCAGGGGGTTGGGACTGGATGATCTTTAAGGTCCCTTCCAACCCAAACCAGTCTGGGTTTCTATGAATTCCCAGCTGGGCAGGCCTGTAGGCTAGATCACTTGCATAGTATTTGTCTGCTGCTCCTCATACCAAACAGGTATTTCTCCTGTTCTGCCCATCACCACACTCCTCAGCAGGAGGCCTCTGCACTTTGAAGCAAGGTCATACCTTGATGCGATGGTCGTCTTTGTCAACTATTGTTGCCACTCTTATCAAGATGGGATTTCTTCTGTCCACAGCCTCCAACTTCGTATTAACTTGGAATCCATGAGCAGGACGCTGCGAGAGAGGATTGCAAGCAGAATGCTAAAAGGTCTGGGTGTTCAGAGCTAGTCACCTGCCCTGAATAAAATGTGCTCAAGTTTCCATCTCCCATCCAAATGCCTTTCAGCTCTGGCCCGAGTGCACAGGGCAGCCTGCTGCAGAGCTTAGCATCAGTTTCCTAGAGGGTGAAGCAGTCTGCCTGTCAGCAGCCCCACACGACTGGAGAGGAAGCCTGAGCTTTTTCAGTGCAGAGGAGCATTTCACAGCCAGGGCCAGAGGGGCTCCCCTACCAGAAAAAAAGGCCAGATACTACCACAAGCTCCCCCGAGGGACAGACTCTGCAGGGTGACAACAGAACAACCTGACACAGCAGGGAGATGATCTATCTGACAAGGAGAGAGGCCAGCTCAGCACTGTCTCACACCTGAACACACCACATGTGACATCTCCTGTCCCTACACTATATGTGACAATCTTCTTGGCATTTGGACATTCCAGTTCCCTTCAGTAAGCAGGTTACACCTACTGCTGAGGATGGCAACTGCATCTGCTTGTTAATGACTGTCAAGAACTGTGGGGCTGGGACCCAAAAGCATTTCCAGTCCATCTGCAGCTGCTGACTTACCCTTCTCTCAAAACCCAGCAGTCAAATGACATTGTAAAAACTCCAATTTGTCCTCTGACCTGATGTGTGCCCTGTGCAGCACCCACTCATGTAAACCTCTAAGTAAGACAGTGTTTCCTAATTTTTTCATTTATCTTTAAATGACTGACTGCAAATTCCTCCTCTGACCTCCTCAGCTGGGGGTTATGGAGCACTGGATCCTCATTCAGAACACATCCTTCTTTACTTCTGCACATAAAGGTCAGGATTTTAGCAAGAGATGATAAATTGTGCCTTTGAACAAGATCAGGATAATGAAAAGATGATGATAATCACTCTTCCCTCCAGTAGCAGGGGGTGGGGAAGAAGGTCCACTTCTGAGCTAAGGGGATTACAGGCTCCAAACCTCAAGTTTCTCTTTGGTCTCTTCACCTGGACACACATTTATCCAGAGGCTTTCAGCCACACAACACACTGAAAGACAAACAATCTAAACTGCTTTTAGTTTTAAGAGCATCTTATTGACCCAGCCAACCTTGCCCATGTTCCTTGAGGAAGGAGCCTGAGGGCTGGAGAACAAAAACCTGCCCAGAAGATGCACAGGGCTGTTTGTTTATGACTTTCTGCAGGGTTGCTGCCTTTTTGGCAATAGCTTATAAATGGTTTTGAATTGACAGCCCAAGACAATGGGCTGAAATAGCAATGCTGACAACTAGGCTGGTTCCTGCATTTTTGGGTAGAGAAGGAAGCAGAAATCCAGAGCTAAGATCTGGTGCTGATGATCAGTGTCTCCAGGCTATACAAGATAAAACTGTTAAAAACTCATTCAGTAAGAAATGTCTGTTCTGGTTCTCAAGCCATATATTTATGTACTGATTTCCTGTAATTGCTAGCTGGAATAATAATACTAATAAAAAAAAAAATCAATACCTGGGCCATGCATTTGCACTTCAGATCAACCAAGCCAGAAAAATAACAATGTCTGATTTTGAAAGAGTTCTATTAACTGTTAATATATCAAATGCCCTTTTTTTTTTCTGTCTCATTCTCCAACACAGTATTGGATGCTAATTTATTTTCTGTAGTTTCATGAGAGCAGAATTGACCCTTCTGCTATTCTCTCCAAGCCAGATATCTGAGGAACAAAACAATGGCTGCAGAGTGTGCATGAAACAAGAAAAGACGCAGACAAGGCAGTTGCCTTCCCCCTTGGGAAGACACTTCACTTCTGAAGAATCCCAAGCAGAGACTACTCAGGGCTGGAAATGCTCCCTGTCCTGAGCAAAGTCCTGCTACCTTCAGGTGACACTTCCCAACACACTGGAGGGAAGGGAGGCCATCCAGGGGGACCCAGACAGGCTGGAGAGGTAGGCTTGTGCAAACTGCAGGAAGTTCAACAAGGACAAGTGCAAGGTCCTGCATCTGGGTCAGGGCAATGCCAAGCACTAATCCAGGCTGGGTGTAGAATGAATTGAGGGCAGCCCAAGGAGAAGGACTTGGGGGTGACGGTGGATGAGAAGCTCAACATGACCCAGCACCGTGTGCTGGAACCAGAAACCACCCATGTCCTGGGCTGCATCCCCAGCAGTGTGGGCAGCAGGGCCAGGGAGGGGATTGTCCCCTCTGCTCTGCTCTGGGGAGACCCCCTGGAGAGCTGTGTCCAGCTCTGGAGCCCCCAACACAGGAAGGACATGGAGCTGCTGGAGAGAGTCCAGAGGAGGCCATGGAGATGATCCAAGATCCCTTCCAACCCAAACCAGTCTGGGATTCTGTGGCTCTCTGATTCTGAAGCTCTGTGGAAAGGGCTGGAGTGGCAGATTCCTTCAGGCTTCAGGCTGTTCCACAGGCTGTACTTCATTACTTCTTTTTGTAAAGGAAGAGTTTTATTATCTTGCCAAAATATTTGTTTCTACCAAACTACTTCTATTGTTCCCCTATTGTGTAGAAGACCAACTGCTACAGTATTTCACCCTGGTTTCTCAAGAATCCCATTTTCCAACACTGTTGGGATTTTACAAGCAAGGCTCAGAAAAAGGCTGATCCTGCCCTGGGGACAACAAAGTGTCCAACTGAGAAGCTTCACTCACCATCCTGCACCCTGGCTCTGAGGTGCTTTATGTGCTGCATGATCCACAGTGCTGTCTGCCCAACTCTAGAAAACCTTAATCCCAGGGATGTTCTGGCATTCAATCGTCCTGCTGCTAACTCCAGCTGTGGCCTTACAGTTCCCTAAAGAGGCAAACCCAACCTCTTCCCACTCCCTGACATCCACCTTGTGACCTACAACCACTTGAATGGACACCTGCTGCAATCTAGCAATTATCAAACTTGTCTGGCTGGATTTTTACCTCCCTTATCTGAGGCCTTCATGATTACTTTTCCTCCTCAGCCTCAAAGAGCTTACCAATAAATGATACAGGAGGGCAGCAGGAATTAACCTGCCACACTAACTTCTTCGAAAGGAATCAAGACAAGTGTCACAAAGGCACAGACAAGTCTTTAAAGTTTAGCAAGGTGAGCCAGAGGTGCTGGAGAAGCTGCTAAGAAATAAATAAAAATCAACTTTAAAGTCTGAGGAGTTTTTAATGAAGTTATTTTAAAGGCTTGTGCTTTGTTTCTGCTCACAGTGAGCTTAGAGATAAATGCACTGAACTCGGAAGTAAGAATCAAAAGCTCTTGCTCCCAAGGTTGAGAGAACCATCTGCAGATCTATCTACAGAATGATCTGACTCCAGAAGTCTGGCAGAGATGCTCTATCATCTGTCAGAAGGCTTGGTTCTGTGGAGGGCACAGCTGGCTCCTCCCTAGAAGAACCAAGATCTATATTAGAACATGTAAGTCCTTGACAGAAACTCCTTACTGAAATTCCTGCCTCACCAACCAGGGGGAGAAGGATTTGCACAATTATTTGAGGGAAGTTTTTAAAACTTCATGTGGAGGGGACACCTGAGGGAGGAACTGCCCACTTCTCATTCCCCCCAAACACATGCACACACACCTTGAGCAGACCAGCTTTCTCCTTCACACATTCCTCTGACAGCCCCAATTATCTGTGTGGACTGAAGGTTCTTCCCTTCAAATGGAGCAAATGGAAATGTTTAATTATAAATCCTTTCCAAGATAGCTTTTCATGGCAATTAAAAAACCATAAAGATTTTGCAGTCTGCTGTGTGTTTTCCTTTAGCAGCAACAAGAGATGATCTTGAAACAGAAATCCCAGTTTCACCCTCTTGGCACAGACATGGTGAAGAACCATCAAACAAAGCATCTAGCAAGAGTGGGTAGAAAACAGCAGCTTCCCCTGCCCTCCTGATCTGGGACAACCAAAGATTCACCAACCAGTTTGAATGCTCTTGCTGGAGCTGCCTGGGAATTAGTTTCTTCCAAGTATTTCTCCCAGGAGAAGGATTTGGAATCTTTGTATCCTGAAAAAAAACAAACCAGAGAATTACCATTTAAGTAAGAAAACCCCACATTTATTGCTACAAACAAGAGAAAACCAGTTATGAAACACATGGCTCTGATGTTAATTTAGCACTTAACAATGGATAGTGGCCTGTTTATTCAAACACAGCACTTGGAGCAGCCTCCCTGACTTCTGCACTAGGTTTTAGCTCTGACCTGAGAAGCTCAAAGAGTTTATTTCTCTACAGTTTAATCAAGGCTGCTTGTCTAGAAAAAGCTGCCAATTAAGAGTCAGTCAAAGGATCCTGTGATGTGCAAAGGCAGTGCTACCTTCATTTCCTATTTTATCAACTATTTGATGTGTGAGTGCCTGCAAGATTGTGGAAACTTCTTGTCTCCTGCTACCTACTCACCCATAGCTGAGGAACCCAGCAGTCTGGAGAGAAAAGGCTTCACCATCACCTCAGACACCTACATGGGTCTGCTACTCTAGCAACAACCAGATGTCTCTCCCGTTTAAGAAACTCCTACATTTAAGAAACTACTCTACTTTTTTTTCCCTTTCCTACTTCAGTGTTTTTTCAGCCCCAGGATTGTTTCCCACAGAAACTGAGGGGGAGCATTTACAACCCTTTCTGCCTCTGCAGCAAAGGCACAGAGGTTAATCTCTCTAATGCAGAGGGATCTTGTAGTGTCACCCAGTCCACTAAACTTGATCCACAATAATTACAGAAACTCCTGCTCCAGGGCTGTCAATCCAGCAAACAGCAAACATCACTTTTTACTTTTTGTTATTTTGAAGGTGAATGAGCCCTCTCAAGGCCTGAAAACAACATTCATCTCCCCAGAAGGTCTGTCCTTTTCCTTTTGCCAACATTCTCTTTATTTACTGAATTCCAGGGCAGCACAAAAGAGATGTAGCCTCAGTTATTCCTTCATTTCCATAAATTCCACCTTATCATCTATGAAATCATGACACTGGTTCACAGAATTGTTCTGGTTGGAAAAGACCTTTATCAAGTCCAACAATTAACCCAACTTGACCAAGTTCCTCTTTCTTCCAGCTCACATTAAAGGAAATGCTGCAAATACTTCCACGTTCCTTCCCTTCTGATATCAAATTCAGTTCCAATTGATCAATCCCAATTCTTGAAAGAGCCATAAAACAAAAGTATCAACAAAAATATTGTCAGTAGAGAAGGGAGTACTGAATGGAACCTATAACTTGGAAATGTGTAGTTATGTGGAAGATGGAGCTCACAGGGGTTTTTTTAACTGAGGCAGGAAATAAGTCTCACTTTTAACATACCAAGTGGTGTTGTCAGGGGGGTTCCAGTTTCTTGGCAGTAGCCAACAGGACGAATATATGGGCTGCTGGCTTCACACCTGAATCAAAGAGGGAAAGTTGGCACCAGTCAATTCTGAAGTAAAAAGAAAAGCAGAATCTCAAAAGCTGTCTGATAGGCCTTAGCTGGGTGAGCAGATGCTTCAGTGGGTGGGATCATGGTGTAAAAGACAAGCATCGCCTCGTTAGGATTTAGAATGCCAAGTTTTTAAAGCATCCAAGCTGCCCCAAAAGGTAGAGAAATAAAAGGAAAATGTTTGGTGCTTAAAAAAACAAGAACAAAGCTCCCCCTGCCAGCAAGTTCAGCCTGTATATTGATCATTCAACCTAAAATGCATAGAAAGCAAAGAATCATAAACCCTCATCCCTAACTGAAACAGCACTACTGTGGAGAAAGGGGGAATTACTCCATAGAACCATAGGATGGTTTTGGTAGGAAGAGACATTAAAGATCATCCAGATCCAAACCCCTGCATGGGCAGGGACACCTCCCACCAGCCCAGGCTGCTCCAAGCCCCATCCAACCTGCCCTTCAACACTGCCAAGGATGGGGCAGCCACAGCTTCCCTGGGCAACCTGGGCCAGGCTCTCACCATCCTCACCCCCAACAATTTCCTCCTCATGTCCAACCTCAGTCTCCCCTCTTCCAGTTTTAATCCATCACCCATTGTCCTCTCTCTCCCTGCCCTTGTCCCAAGTCCCTCCCCAGCTTTCCTGGAGCCCCTTCAGGCACTGGAAGCTGCTCTAAGGTCTCCCTGGAGCCTTCTCTTTTCTAGGCTGAAACCCCAACTGTCCCAGCCTGTCTCCAGAGCAGAGCTGCTCCAGCCCTTGGATCATCTCTGTGGCCTCCTCTGGACTCTCTCCAGGAGCTCCATGTCCTTCCTGTGTTGGGGGCTCCAGTCCTGGACACAGCTCTCCAGGGGGCTCTCAGCACAGTAGAGGGGACAATCCCCTCCCTGGCCCTGCTGCCCACACTGCAGGTGATGCAGCCCACTTTTCAGGTCTTTGCCAAGAACTGCAAGTTTTCCATTAATTCTAGCTGAAACCTAGTGGGAGTTTGCCTGGTTCCCAATTTTACTGCATCTTAAGATCTTCAAAGTCCTGAAGAAGGTTATGGGCCAACGTGAGACAGGCCCTTTTGTCACATCTGCTCTGAGGAAGGGCCCAAAGCAGTTTGTCTGATCAAGGAAAAAACCTGTGCAGCCAAGCTCTACTTTGAAGCTTTCTTTGCTTGTGTTTCCCATTACAATTTTCAAACTGCCAGCAAAACATGGCATGGAAACAAAGCACCAAGGGCTCAAATGGTACAGGAACAAGATCTAAAACCTTGCAAATGGTGTCACAAAGCTCTGCATGACATGTTTATGGCAAAGAAAGAAAAGACTGACTTGCCACCAAACAGGTGCCTCATCTGAAAACAAACCAACAAACAAAATGAGCTGAGGGGGAGAACACAGAATGCTGATCAAATCCATGTTGTTTTGATAAGGCTGTGCCTGGTGGTTCTTTCACAGACAAATTCAAAGGAACTCACTCCATCATGTAGGTTGGAAAACACAGAGCAAAGAGGGAAAATGTTTCCCTGACTAATATTCCACCTGGCCCCAGCATGAGGGCAGGGAATCAAGATTTTCAGATGCAGAACAACTGGAGTGCAGGTCAGGACTTAAAAGCCTAAATGTTGGCAATGTTTTTTATTTGCAAAGGGCCTTGGCCAAACTCTGCTGAAGCCAAATAGAAAAGATTTGTACTGATTTCAGTCCTGCAGCTTCCAAATGTGAGTTTGCAGAAAAGACATGGCAACAGCCACGACTAGTCCTGGAGGAGAGAATGTTACTAATTCCAGGTGGTGTCACTAGTGGAGCTTATCCTTCTACCTCTGCCAGAGGAATGGATAACATCAACATTTCCTGACCTGACCCGAGGCAGCCAGCTGCATTACCTCCATCCCTTTTTACCTCAGATGCTCCAGGGACAGCTCAAGCCAACCCCAATGGCTTCACATTGAGCTAGTGACAGGCTCTCCAATAGCAGGGGAAGCTACTGGGCAACTGGTACTTTGTGAAAACCCAAAGTAGAATCATTATGGTTGGAAAAGACCATCAAAGGTCATCAAGTCCAACCATCAACCCAACCCCACTGTGCCAACCAAAGCATGTCCTGAAGTGCCACACCTACATGGTTTTTAAAGCCCTCCAGGGATGGTGATTCCACCACTGCACTGGGCAGCCTGTTCCAAAGTTTGACCACTCTCTGTAAAGAAATTGTTCCCAATATCCAATCTAAACCTCCCCTGGCACAACTTGAGGCCATTCCCTCTCATCCTATCACCTATTACTTGGAAGACAAACACCTGCCTCACTCCAGTCTCCTTTCAGGAAGCTGTAGAGAGCAAGGTCTCTCCTCAGCCTCCTCTTCTTCAGACTAACCAATCCCAGGTCTCTCAGTTGCTCCCCATATGATTTGTACTCCAGACCTTTCACTGCCCTTCTCCCGACTCACTCCAGCACTGGATGCTTGAAAACTGATTTAAGATCCCAACTTCAGTGACTACATTTAAGATATTAGATATTACCCTTAGTGGAAGAGCAAAAGACACCACAGTCCACCTGCAGACATGTACTAGACAGAGCATCTCTTTACCAGTAGTCATAGCTCTCATCCCAGTTATCAAAGTGGATCAGCAGGCGGTTCTCCACCATGTCCGTGATGGTGGCGACACACATCAGCGACGGGTTCTTCTTGTCCACTGCCTCCAGTTTCATTCCCAGTCGGAAACCAGAGGGTGTGACAGGCTGAGGAACAGGACATTGGGAAGGGAAATCAGCCACGTGCTAGGTCAGGCATGGATGAGGGTAAGTGTGAGTATAGAATCAATCACAGAACCATAGAATGGTTTGTGTTGGAAGACACATTAAAGATCATCCAGTCCCACCCCCTGCATGGGCAGGGACACCTCCCACCAGCCCAGGCTGCTCCAAGCCCCATCCAACCTGCCCTTCAACACTGCCAGGGATGGGGCAGCCACAGCTTCCCTGGGCAACCTGGGCCAGGCTCTCACCATCCTCACACCCAACAATTTCCTCCTCATCTCCAACCTCAATCTCCCCTCTGCCTGTTTTAATCCATCCCCCTTGTCCTCTCCCTCCCTGCCCTTGTCCCAGGTCCCTCCCCAGCTTTCCTGGAGCCTCTTCAGGCCCTGGAAGGTGCTCTAAGGTCTCCCTGGAGCCTTCTCTTCTCCAGGCTGAGCACCCTCAGCTCTCCCAGCCTGTGTAGCAAGTCCTTTCTCATTACTGGAAAAGTTATAGTCTTAAGGAAAACAGGTGCCTCAGAAGCAGAACAGAGCTGCAGAGTCAGGCCCTGATCCTACTGGAGTCAGTGCTCAGTCCATCAGCAGTGTCACATCCACCAGACCATGACTTTGTGTCATCTGAGTGACACATAAAGGAAGTACAGGAAGGGGAACTAACGACCAAGCAGAAAGCAACAGTGGCTGAAGGATGAAAAATGCTCCCATGGCACATATGAGTGTGCTGCTGGAAACCAGAAATTATTTTGGAAATTACTAAATTAGAGGAAAGTGACACAAATACCTTGACTGTAGGGGCACAGCAAAACAAGACTGTTGTAATATATTTAATAAATGGTAGAGTAAATCTTTGCCTCCAGTATTAGGGAGGAAGGGAAATACAAATTCTCTCCCTGGAAAGCCAGTGACTGGGGGAAGGAAGAAAAATTGTACTCACTTCCCCATCTTAAAAAATAAATCACAGCAGGAAATAGTTTGCATCTGATTGTACCATGGTGCACCTCTGACATGAGCATAACAAAACCACATAATTATTCTAGTCAAATACCACTTAGCATCAGACCTATTAGAAACATCTTGTATTCAATATCCTCACTTACAGTGCTGAGGGTTTTAAAAAGGCTTTTTGGAGCTGCTTGAGCTTTGCAGTTCTTCAAATAGGAAGTCCAATTAAATTCTCCCTCCTTGAAACCTAGGAAAAGAGAGAAAAAGATGGTTTTACACAGCCCTGTTACATTCAGATCAGGTTGGTTTTTTTCTTCCCAGAAATGAGGATTACCTGGGAAGAATAGGAACTGTGCATGGGAACTGCCCTTCCACAGCCTGCAGGGGTTCTGCACTTCAGCTAAAACATCTCTCTTTCACTATAATGTCCAATCATTCATCTCAACCTTCAAATAGTTCTAGGAAATTGAATGCAAGAATGAAGCAAGTTCTGAACTGCAAAGAACCTCCCTGCTTTACAGGCACATCCAATGGTTTCTAATCTGACTAACAACATCAATCTTTGGGAATATCATAAGGAAGCTGTTTTCTTCTTTTGTTATTCACCATCTTAGTTCCACTTCTTCCCTTTAAGCCACTCAGATCGAGTACCACAATGAAATCCTACTAAAAATGACACATTCAGAGCCAGGACAACTAGTTCTTAGCAGAATTTATGGTTTCTTGTCCACCATTCCATTATTTTTTTTTTCCATACCTTTAGGAGGGAGCAGTTTATGACTTGTTTTTTCACACCAGCCAACAGGATGGATGTCAGAGGAGTCAGCATTGACCCAGAAGTCATAACACTCGGGGTAACCATCAAAGTGTAATCTCATTCTGAACCCTTTCACCTACAATGAGGGGAGCCCTGATTAGCATAAAGGGTTATAAAGAAGCCCAAGAAAAACACCAAGCAAACACTCATATATTTTGATTAAAGTAAATTGAAGAGCTCATTTATTTTTCAAAATCCTAGTTTTATTTTTCCTCATTTGTGTCTCCCAGTTTCCATGCTCCTCTTTCCTCACTTCAAAAAGCTGAAAATAAAACTGGACAGTTTAAATTCACTGGCCTCCTATTCCACACTCATGCACATATTCCTGTGTGGCAGTATCTGGAGACAAGTAAAAAGGAGAATATTTATGTCTATACCAGATGAACACAGATTTCACAGATTTGAAGAAGCATAAATGCACTTCAACTTGTATCATATCATATCATAGAATGGTTTGGGTTGGAAAGGACCTTAAAGATCATCCAGATCCAACCCCCCTGCATGGGCAGGGACACCTCCCACCAGCCCAGGTTGCTCCAAGCACCATCCAACCTGCCCTTCAACACTGCCAGGGATGGGGCAGCCACAGCTTCCCTGGGCAACCTGGGCCAGGCTCTCACCACCCTCACACCCAACAATTTCCTCCTTGTGTCCAACCTCAATCTTCCCTTTTCCAGTTTTAATCCACTCTCCCTTGTCCTCCCACTCCCTGCCCTTGTCCCAGGTCCCTCCCCAGCTTTCCTGGAGCCCCTTCAGATACTCTCTCAGGGCCTAATTGCACTATTCTTTTTGATACTTAGTCACTGTGTGCAGTTACCAGGTTTACTATGGTAAGATAAAATTGCAAAAATCTGACAGTAGAATTTCAGCTATAGATGCTTAACCACATTCCTTCACTGTCACCTCAAACTCCTCTTAACCATTAATTAATTAAAGTATTATTATTCAGATCTTACTACTTTTTATTGAGGAAAATCCTCAATGTACATGGAACTTTGGAAACCAAAGACAGGAAGAGCAACTACCTCAGCCACTGTGAGAACACAAAATCGAGAGGGATGTTCAGGATCCAGCCCTTCCAATTTCATTCCAACTTTAAATCCATTTCGGCCTTCTGGGAATGATTGATACTGTGAGGCAGAGGGGGAAGAAGGACACATTTGGTTTTAATTCCTGAAGACAAAAATCTATTGCACAGCAGCCATGAGATACACTTAAGGCTTCACATTTTCAACTCAGACAAAAACACTCTCTCACTAAATGATTGCTGCTTTAATAGACAGGCACAGCTACAGAGATCAATAATGTCACCATCACCACATTCAGATTTACTTGTTATTCTAATTAATCTCTCAAAAACACAGAACCACAAGGCTGTTGCAATAAGTTATGAACAAATCTTTCAGCAGATGCAGAAATGAGCTCTCATCAAACACAAAAGAATACCTTTCACAGCCCAGGTTTTGCCAGACTGCTGGCAAAAACCATAAGCCAGGAAGGCTAAAATCTTTCTGCCTGTATCAGCACCAGCTCAAGAGTCCAGGCTTTCCCAAAAGGTAATTTCTCATCTTCAGAAGGTAGAAGGGACAAGGCATGTTTGATCTGGAGCCCGTTTACACAGTCACTCCAGAAAACATTTGTGTTTTCCATTTAATCCAAATTGAACATCTGAACTACATAGTAAAGGCTTAAAAGAAACCTGAACTGGAATTGCAAATGGTTTATTGCACCCACTGCAGGTACCTGACTCCTTCCCACCTCCCTCTTTAAGGTGCCAACAGCCCTTGGCTTTGAAGAGCTGACTGGGAGTTGAACTTTGAACATGGGCTGGTGCACTGGGGTGCAGCAGCAGCTCCAGCAGGACTGATCTCACCCTCTCCCACCTTCAGAGGCAACAAACTCCACCCTAACAGTCCTAACAGTCACTTGAGACATCAAGTCTCACTGACACAAGATTCCCAGAGCTCACTGACTTGCAGTTTTCTACATAGGAAGGCTGGAAGGGTTGTTGGACAACAGAAATGAAGGCCAGGACATATGAAAGACATTAAGCTGTCCCTCTCCAGCATTACTTGGAGATTGCCTAACAGCCCAAACATCCAGAGCTACCCAAAGCAGATCAGAACAGCCATTGTTTATTTCTGAGTGAGGCTCAACCAGCATTTTTCACACCCTGGTTTTGGGGGTTAACACTTGTTTCCACAGAGCTTCAGTGCTGGGAACAAACCAACCTGCCTGACTCAGTAATTCTGTGATGCTGCCTGAGAGAAACATAGCAAGAGAGCTGAAAAAATTGCCAACCTCTCTGAACAGTTTGAGGGGAGCAGCTGGCATCCGTTCCTCTTCTAGGTAGGAAACCCAGTTCCAAACCTTCTTCTTTCCAGGAACAACTAAGCAATCAAAAACGAAGAGAAGAATGAGTGTTTCCTTCAAATGCCTCCTGCTCTGCTCTCTTCTCTTCCTCCTGTGCACACACCAAGGCTGTTCTGTTGCTGTACCCCAAAGGAGGCAGTGTTATCCAACTTTTGAGAAAAGGTATGAATTCCAGCAGTAGGAAAACCAAGCTAATTTCTTATTAAAATAATATATATATACATAAATTATATCACACATCAAATGAAAGGTGGCACTTTAGCTGCTGGCAAGCTGCCCATGGAAAGCTGCCACTGTAAAGTTTGGACAAGAGATAGTAATTTAAAATTGTGGAAATGATATTTCACCGAGGAATGAGGGGTTAGATATAAACTAAAAGACAGCACAAAGAAGCAGGTAATTGCAGCTGAAATGAACCTAAAACAAAACAAATGAAAAACCAAGGGAATCTTTGTTCAGTTCACAGTATTTATATATATACACACACAGAGAGATATATTTATAATCTGCTAATACAACATCTACTAGAGAGGCAGATACCAGTGCATAGATGATGAAAACAAGAACTTGGGCAGGTGCTTGGATTCATTCTAGCAGGACCATGGTCATACACACAGAAAATCTCCTTTTAAATGTATATTAAAAGCCTGCCCCCAGTTTCCATACGTTGACTCCTTTAAGGTGTATCAGACATTCAACTCAAAGTCTATAATCAATCACAGGCTGTTTATAAGTTATTTTCTACTTAGCATTTGCAGTCTGTGGCTACGAAGCTCTCCAAAGTCAATAGAAACAGGATTCTGATTGTCTCCAGTGAGCTTTGGATCAGGCTGTCTCCTTCTACACCCTCTCCACTGTGCCCATCATGCAGGTAAATCCAGGATATTCCTGCTAATACACTTCAGAAGACTCACTATGGTAAGAGGTTTATGTACCTAATAAGCTATTCTGAATGTGAAATGAGCTCTACTGTCCTTTCCTCTTCTGTTTACTATTATTCACTTTATAATAAATAGTAAAAAAAAATAATCTATAAACATTAAAGAAAAGAGACTATGAGCTTAGCTCACCTTGTTTTATTGGTTTAGTGTTTCTGCGGCTTTTCATATTATTTGATTTATTCTTCTCCTAGACACAGATATGTTAAAAAAAAGTTTAGCAATATTGGTTTTTTCCTCCCTCTTTGATCATCTCACAATGCAGGTACAATAAGGATGTAACTATCAGGACTATTAGCTAGCAATAGTTTCTTTTGAAGAACCCTGCAGGAACATTAGTAGGGTATGTTACCCAGAGAACCTGGATGCTGCAGTATCCCAAAAGTGCTTTACAAATTATTTAATATGAGCTACTAAAGTTCATTTAAATGTGGCTACTGAAGAGCAGCACAGCCCAAACATCTCCATTGCAAGATTTGCCTTCTGCAGAGCAGGATTTACTGCTCACATAAACAACCTTGCTGTCATGCTCCCCTTTCCTTTTCCTTTCAGAGGTTCTTATGCCCAGGGAATGGCGAGAGAGACAGAAAAATCATTTGTGAAGCCCTAAAGAAAGCAGAGGCTTCAAGTCCCTGCTGTCACAGATGAGCACCCTAGAAAATGCTGTCTCCCTGTGTCACACTCGGAGCCAGACTGCCAGTCACATTTCTTCTGTGTGGTGTTCAAACTCATGTTTAATTCACCCGGGGTTGTCATTTCTCAAAGCAAACCAAAAAGGGCAAAATCTGAAATGCAAAGCTCCCTGCCAAACATGCCCCAGAAGAGACAGAGGGGCAGTTTCAAACGAGGAGGAGGGGAAGAGGGAAGAGACAGAGTGCAAGTACTTCTGTAAACAGCCATACTCCTTACAGACATCACAGAGGAGAGCTGAGCAACAAGAGGAGCTCAGAAGTTGGCATCAGAAGTTCCAGCCGGCATTACAAACACACCTACCCCAGCACCTCTGCACTACAAAACCATGTGTGATACATGAAATAAAATGGTTCAGGCCTGAGATGCTGCATACAGGGCAGCAGAGCACAGACCTGCACAGAGAAGGGTCCCTGAAGGCAGTGAGACTGTTAATGGAAGTCAAGAAAAGATCAGGTCAGGCCTGAGGTTCTTCATCCACAATGAGTACAGGTTTCTAGTAGTGCAGTGAGTGTACATGCAAGTAGCTAATTAAAAGCCATCAGACTCTGAGGTTTGACACTAACCCTCAGTATCACATAACAGCACTTGACTGTAGTTGGATAAACTAATTTTGGAGGCATGTGTTTTTATCACTGTGAAACACCCTTGGTGCACAGGGCTGTAACTACACCTCAGAAGTTCCAGTCTGAAATCTTGACCTGGACTTCCCATGAGCTCTTCACCCATCTGACTCCTCAGACCTCTCATTACTGATGTCAACCAGGATGAGATGAGCCCCAGACCATCCTCACCTCCCTCAGCTCAGTTTGCATGGCAGTGAGATCCTAGACACAGAAGGGTCCCTGCTCTCCACAGCTCTCTTTAAAGAAAATACATGCAGCCTCATTTACCTCATCCTCATCTGCATTTTCCTCATCATCCTCAGACTCCAGAAGCAGTCTCCTCTTCTTTCGGACACGTTTGGCAGGTCTGCCAGCCTCATTCATCTGACAGCCACTGCTGGTATTAAGATTTCTACTATTTCCCCTGTTTCTGCAATCATCTGGAATGTCTCTGGTATTGTTAAACATCCAAAATTGAGAACAAAGTCAAATGAAAAGTGCAACAATTTTCCTGCAGTATTCCCAGTGTCTCTGTACCTCTTAATAAGAATAAGGATGCCTGGGCTGAGAACCTAAAGAAGTGAATCCTGTTTGCAGGATGTGCCTTTTTACAACCCTCCAGAGATTTCAGGTATCATCCTTATTGGTAGTAGGATGGAGAACTGAGGTATCAAGCACACAACCAGCATTTCCACAGGCTGGGAAATGAGGACAGACCTCTGGAGAGGAGCTTTCCTCTGTTAGGCATGGGAACCTCAGGGTAACACTTGGCTCTGCTTCAGCCACATCAGGGAACACTTGCTCTGAGGATTCCATCCTACCCACAGCAAAACTTTTCTCTAACACAATGTTCTCTTTATACATTTTTACCAGAAGAGGAAGAATCTGGAGTTTCTTTACCTGTCCCTGTGCTGCTGGGAGCCCGTCTGAGTAGAAAACCTTCCATTCTCAAAGCAATCCATTTGTTCACAGGGTTGGAAATTGGAGCAGGGCACGTCTTCTCTGGGCACTGCAGCAGCAAAGAAAAAGAAAAGTATTACATTAAAACTTTCTAACAGCTTTCATGCAATTAGTTCTGTCAGAGTCCTTTACAAACTTCCGTTAAGTGACTCTCAGTACCCCATAGTGAGGGAAGGAATTATTATTGGCACCTAGGAAGTACCACCTGATTAAAGAAAAAAAACCCTAACTGGCAATATTTTAATTTTGGAGAAACCCTGCCCCCTGTAAAAGTGATAAAAGAGGATATAATTTCAAGGCTATAACCAGCACACAGTTACAAATCATCTTCTATTTCTTTATTCCTAGTAACCCCCTAACTTGAAAGACAAATGTCCACCTTGTTTGGATGCTTTTAATACAGTTGGTTAAGTTTAAAATTTTCTGCATTTATATACACTTTGTACAAAAGAAAATCCTTCACAGGCAGCCTCTAAAAATAGCACATTATTGATGGGAGAACAGAAACAATTATTTCTTTATCTAGCAAGGGATATATATATAAATCATCTGAATGAAAGCACGAAAATGTAAGGAATAACTCCAATGTATCATTTCTGTTTACTTTCTCCCATGACAGAGCTCTTCCTGGTGCAAATTAATTTAGCTTTAATATTCCAACTAACACAATTGCAGAGGTCTTCACTACCAGGCATCTACACTATCCCAATGCATATTTTCCCCAAGTAACCTGACAAGAAAATTGTGCTCAGAGGCTCCATCACTCCTCCATTTATGTGTGCTGGTTTGATCAATCCATTTTTGAATGCATCATTAAACACTTGAAAAGAAAAATAAAAGAAAAAGCACACCACACGACACAATCCAGAGCACTGACATATGAGTCACTTTGCTTTTTGTTTAAAGCCATTTTTATAGTCTCCTTTCCAGAGCTTGTACCTCTTCTGCTGACTGACGTTTTTCATTTATAGTCATAGAGTCATCAGGGTTGGAAGGGACCTCTGGAGATCATCCAGTCCAACCCCCTGCTAGAGCAGGATCCCCTAGAGCACATTCCACAGGATCCAGGTGGGTTGGGAATGTCTCCAGGGATGGAGACTCCACAGCTTCCCTGGGCAGCCTGTCCCAGAGCTCTGTTACCCTCAAAGAGCCTCTGTGCAACCTTGGCAGCCTGCACATGAAGGCACTGCTGCAGCAAACCCAGGCACAAGCTGGTGGAGATGCTCTTCAAGGAGCAGCTTCCTTTCAGGGGCTGCAAACACAATCCCTGGTTGCAGGCAGGGCAGGATGGGGCTGGTGATGCTCCCAGCTGATCCCAGGCAACAACAGCAGCAACATCCTTACACAAACTGCCCTACTTGCCCAGGAGCACCCAAGTTTTGCTCCCTATAACCCAATAAGGATGTCAGATGGTCCTGGCTGGAACTGGACAGAAGGACTACACTTGGAGGGCACCCATGCCTGCTTGTGTCACAACCTAAAGCCTCTCCCTCTTCTATCAGGGACCAATGATTCCAGGCAGGGAAACAGCAAAGTAAGAAAAACTTGCAAGAACTGAGAGCACTTGAAGAGCTCTGCTCAGTTAGAAGTCACACTGATCTAGGGAATACACTTGGGACTAACAGGGTGTAAAAAAATTCCTAGTTTTGAGGTGTCCATGTAAGAGTCTGCTCTTCACCTGATAGACTGACATCTCCTCAGACAAGGAGCACAATCCACAACCATGAGGAGAGTAAGCAAACACCTGTGAGTGAATCTGCAGAGCTCACAATGAATCTGGGATTAAAAAAGCCAGCAGGAAAGACAGGTACAAAGCCTTCCTACCCAAAGACAGAAATAGTTCCATCAAAATCCTAGGGAAAGCCAACTGGCAGACACTTGTCCAAGCTGGCAACAGGAGGAGAGCACATTCTCAAAGAAGTTCTCTCCACAGAGGTGTATGAATTCAGAGACACAGGGACAGAGCATCACTAACAGAGACCCTACCCAGAGAGTTACTGTCCTGCCAGTGACTGTACCAGGACACACTGGGGATGTCAAGAAGTGACACGCTCAACAGGCTCCTGTGGTGTCCGTGTGTCCCAAGCTCATTCTCAAGTCTCCTACCACCACCTCAGTAGAAGACCTGTTTTGGTACAAGGCATCAGGCACACCTGCCCAGGGCTCCCTGTGCCCCAGCCACGTGCTGTCAGTGCCTGGTTAGTACAACACTGGGCCATCCATTCATGCTCCATGTGTGGAGGAGAGAAAGGAATCCCACTGGAAGCTCCTGTTGCCCCAAGAGCAGGCAGCTAAGGCCCAGCTGCCATGACAAGCCTGTCATCAGCATTATGGAAAAACATTGATGTTATCGTTGATCCATGGCCTTGGAAAGAAGGGGCTCCAATTTCCCAGAATCACCACTCAGAGAGACCCCAGCATGAAAGGTTAAAACTCAGGGAGGTCTGACTAAACTGACAAACCTAGCCCAGATGGTTTCTAGAACCTCACTTACCTTCCACAAAGGCAAGCACAATGCCCTGTCAGGATGATGCAGTAATTACATCCACGAAATACCCCTAAAATACTCAAAATAAGACACAGACTCACCCTGCACACAGTGCCAGGGAGCACCACGCTCCTGAGACATATACTTCAGTTTGACTTGTCTCTAGAAGCTTTTTCAAAAACTGTAAATTCCCTTCCCCAGCAAAAAGCTCACCTTCCAAACCAGTGCTAGAGGCAGCGGAAGCGTTGGTAGCAGCAGGAGCAAAGCTGGCTGGGCTGGCATTTACTGCTGAGGCTGAAAGAGTTTTTATAGCTTCTGCTTCTGCTTCAGTAATGATTTCTAGCAGTCCAAACTCATTTAAACAGAACTGCAGGTAAGAAAAGAAAGCAAGCCAATAACCAGTAGCAAAAGGGCTAGGAAGGGGGAGAGGCAGGAATAGGATTCCCTGAGGAGTGACTAGGTATGGGATATAAAAGAAATGGCTGCATGTACTTTAAAAAGCACTAAAAATAAGTAACAAAGAGAGAAATATTCAACTCTTTCTCAAAATGCCACCAACAGGCACCCAAAAAACCCCATTTTGTTGTCAAGGAAGGAAACATGTTAATTGTACCTGTTTGGGATGTGCTCCTCTTATAAAACCCAGACCTCTGATGAACACATCAGAATAAATACCCTCAGAAAAGCAGTTTTACCCCGAATTCTGCTCTGATGGTTCCAATTCATCCAACACAGCACAATCCCATTTACTGCAGTTATCACATAGAGCAACTTCCCTAAAACCTGAGCACAAGCAGGAATCACCCAGCTGTTGACAGAGAAGTCACATTCCAGTGGAGAACTTGTCCCAAACATTCTTCAGCTGGTGCTGGCTGCACTTGAAAGCCCTCAGAGCTCAGCGACAGCTGGGGCTGCATAAACACAGCATCTGGAGCTGCAAGAGGCCAAGGGGTTCTCAGCCCTCCTTTGATGGCACTTGACAATCTGGTGGGAAATGAACTTCCCAGAGGAGCAGAGGAATGCAGGGACAGGCAGAGGTAATACTGCTGAAGAACAGTAGGCACTGAGAAATAACTGGCCTTTCTTGGTCAGCTCCTCCTTGCATAGTGCCACTCATTAGAGAAAGGCACAGTGGGGCCCTGACCCAAAGACAGAGGAGAGAGTCTCAAGTCCAAACCAACTGTTTCCAAACAACCTGGAAATACATCGAAGAAGCCACAGGCACTGCAGGTAGGTAGGTGACATGTACCAGTATGACCAGGAGCCACAGTGTTCCAGGTCCCAGCCCCAGCTCTCCCTGGTTTGACCCTCAAGAAACCATCAGTAGGTGAGCCTCCCACAGAGGTTCTGCTAGCACACCCATCTTCTGCTCCTGCAGAGCCCTGCCTGCCCCCCTGACCACACATGGCCTGTCCTCCCAAGGGCAAGTTCAGCTGCAGAACAAGAAAACCCCTCCAGAAACAGCAAAGCACTCAGACCATGAGCTAGCTATGGAAAGGGAATAGGATGTGGCAGATTTCAGAGACTCTCATCCTTAAACATTCAAAAATTTCTTAGTCTTCGAAGGAACACTTCATTGGTCTAGATAAAATTATTACAATGTGCCAAACTGTGTCCATGTGCATATTTTATTAGTCTCCATCTGCAAAGGCAATCAAGTACAAAAAAAATAAAAATAATTTAAAAATCACCTTCTGATGAGCAAATAGCTCTGAAGATTACTCACTCCTTGATCTTTGTTACTGTCTGCAGTACAGAACTACTGAACTCCAGAATAAAAGAGACAAGTCAAAGGTGAGCTACATTTGCCAGCTCTGCTCCAAAGCTTTTATTCATAGCACTTCATTAGTTGGAGACCTTTTCTCAGCCATCCTCTTTTTGCTCAAACCTACTAAACCTAAAACCAGTTTAAAAGTCTTTGCTTTACCTCTGAAGCAGGGCTCCTCACTGCAATGAGCACTGTTCCTCCCCTACCCCTGCGTGCTTCCTGGGCTCAGGATCCTGCCTCCAGCACCCTAGCAAATCTTTATCCCAAATGTTCTTCCCCCTCTTTCCTCTTTTTTTATCTGAAGCCTGTATTTCTTAAAGCTTTAAAGACATTGGACTTGCTTCTAAAAAACTCACTTCTTCCTTTGTAGCCCTGAACAGACAGAGCATCACTTATTTCACCACCAAAAGAAACAATCTATTTGAAAGAAATGATAATTCCAAGTAGACTGAGTTTCTGCAGGAGACCCCCTAGTTCAGAGAAGAAACTTGTGGCTTTCCTCCAATGCCACCAGGGCAGCAGCACAAGGCTGCAGGTCCCAAGGGTTCCTTGCCATGGCCAACAGGAACAGCTCAGCATCATGAGCAGGTCAGTGGAAGGAGCATCTCCAGAGCTCCACGTGCCATTAAGCAGCACAGGGAGAGCAAAGCAGAGCTCCCAGCTGGAGCTGGGGCAAGGGGCCAGTGTCACTGATAGGAGCAGATGTTCTCTGGGGCTGATGCCCCTGCAGACTAATTAACAGCTCT